CTCCCCGCGCCTCCCTCTCCTTTGCCCTCTCTTCCCCCTCACCCCTCTCTGTCCTCTCCCCTTCTTCCCCCTCGCCCCTCTCCCACCTCTCTATCTCCTCTCCTTCTCTCTTCTCTTTGCTCTCTTCCCTGTCCCTCCCTTTCCCTCTCGGTCCTGGTCCTTGTTTATCTGTCAGCTCCAATTTCTTGCCTTATAGATTTACCTGCAGAACAAGACACCGCTCCTCTTGCAAAAACTGTTTAAGAAATTCATATCCTCTCCCTTCATTCCTTGGGTATTTCAGAAATGATATTCCTCCCCCAACTACCCCCGTCAAAATAAAATGAATCCAGCCAGCTCCTGCTGTGTGTCCTTAAATCCATTCCCTCTAGCTTAGCTGGTTTGAAAGCCTGTACCCTAGAAGGGGCCTCCTGCATTTGCTGGCAACCCTGCTCGGTCTGATCGCCACAGATAGTGCTTTGGAGTGAAAAAAAGGGGGAAAAACCCTCTCCTTGGAGATTTCAAAACAGATTCGACCAGCTTTCAAGTCTGTGCACTTGCGGAGTGGCAGGGTTTGGGGAAGAGGGGTAGGGGACTTGGGGTGTGAGTGTTTGTCATAAACAAATAGCAACAGAATTTATGTATATATAAATCTGGGTTTCCCTTGGCACATTTGGTGTCTTTCTCCCTGGCATCGAGGGTGGGTGCTGTGCAAGTCTGACTTCTCTCACACTTTAGCTCGGGTTTGGGGAGCGTGTGTGATGGAATTGAGGAGGGGGTTGCTGTGTTTTTGATCTGATTCACTTGACAGATTACTTGAATCCAGCCCACCTTTCCGCACATGTCAAACAGATGGGATCATTGTTAAAAGCCTTGAGAGAGCCGAGGCTGAGCGGTGGGTAAGGCAGGGAGGGGGAGGCGAGGAGGGGGCGAGGAAGGGAGGGGGCACCTTCTAGTAGCTTTGTGTTTTTCACACATTGGAACTGACAGGAGCCCTTCTTCTCTGTGGGGTGTGTGTGTGTGTTGGGGGCACGGGGCTGATGAGGGGTGGGATGGAAAAGGGAGGGAGGTGGGGTGTTGGTGGGCAGGGTTATGATGTCACAGCAAAAGTTACAACAGGAGGAAAACACAGAAATGGTTCAACATTTTTTTTTAAACTTTGGACTGCCAAGAGCTGAAGGAGAGTGGTGAGCAAAGGAATGAAGGGGAGAGAGAGAGAGAAACTAAACTGGAGGCTTGAGTTTTGTGTAGCTTCTTGAAACCTTATGAATGGATTACTAGCAGCTGAGAGCCAGGAGAGACCTGTAGGGAGGCAAGATCCCTCACACACTAGGAGGAGGAAAAAAGCAGGCGGAATTCTTCTTCCTTGCTGTGTTATCCTCCTTCCTGAAATGAATGGTAGGAAACCTTTTTCTGAGGGTTGTGGGGTGGCATGCGGGAGGGGGAAGTTTTCTTCTCCTTTTCTTACCTGAGTGTCTTCCCTTCACTTGAGCTAAACCTCCTCTCCTTCCTTCCCTCCTCTGCTTCTCTTTCTCTCTCTCTCTCTCTCTCTCTCTCTCTCTGTCTCTGTCTCCTCTGCTTTTCTAGCTTTCTCTACATCCTCCCTAACCTCCCAAAGCCTTAATCTCCATTCTTGATCTGCTTAAGAAAAAAGAGAGAGAGAGAGAGAGAGAGAGAGAGAGAGAGAACTGAGTCAGAAAAGTGAAGGGAAGGACAGTCTAGAATTGAGGGCTATCTGCCTAGTAGTATCCACGTGCCTGGATTGATACCTTCCTTGGGGACTTGCATCGAGGTTCCAGTGAACGCTACCTAGAAAAACAGGGCATGCCGAAGATGAGGTGTTTAAGAGCCAGCATTTTTAAAGCCAATAAGTCCACTACTAGCTGAGGTAGAGAAGTTTAGAAGATGATGAGGAGACCCAAGGCAGTGTGATCTTACTTCAAAGTCTGTGGGTTGCATGTTTTAGATGTGGGCAACACAAGCAGTGGCTTTAAAAGTGTGATTTTTCTGATTGCCTTAATGAAGGACCCAATGTGTTTCTCGAACTGTTTTGTGCCACCTGTGATCAGATATCCTTACTTGTGCTAAGAATTCAGAACCACACTCTGTGTGTGTCCATGTATACGTGCATGTATATGTGTACATGTACATGTGTTCAGGGAGTGAGAAAGGTCCGGCGTGGCATCTAGGCATCTGGGTGAACACTGCAAAGGTTAAAATCCTAGTATTTACTTCCTTACCTTTCCCATTTATTTCAGATCGATTGAAAAAATGGTTGCTTGGGTCTAGCTGTTCACTTTTGTAAATTACTTATTTTGAGCATCTCATTTGTTTATTTGCTCACTCAACATATGGTGACTCTTAGTAACTTCAGACCAAGAAACTTCTGAGAGAAAAAGAAAATCTCTGTAGTACAAATTCATGGCATTTCCATTTAATACCTTTCATAGCAGGGTAATTGACTTCTCCTTTCTCTCAATGTCCAATATAAAGTGAATTTAGGGTATTGTTCGTTTAAATCCCAAATGTTTGATTGAAATAAGAAAAAATACAGGAGGTTTGTGACAAAACAAAAGACAGAGATACAAGTGGTCTCTGAAAGGTTAGTGTGGGCTTGTTAGACAATAGGTAGGTCTGTTCGTAGCACGTGTGTGTGTGTGTGTGTGTGTGTGTGTGTGTGTGTGTGAGAGAGAGAGAGAGAAAGAGAGAGAGAGAGAGAGAGAGAGAATACACACAGGAAAGAGTACTCCAAAACACTATTGATTGCTTGCTATTGATTGTGTAGGCTGTGGCTGCTGAGAAAGCCCGAGATGTTTACTAGGGAAACCAAAAGTAATGTCTGTCCCCTGTGCCTTGGTGAGGTGGGAGGTTTTCAGGAGGGAGGGGGGACAGGGAGTAGGTGGAGTGATGCACTGAACTGATTGACTTTGACATCATCATTGCCTTTAAATGAAAAACAAAAACAACAAAAAACCAGGAAGAAGATAGTTGTAGGCAGAGAGGAAAGGAGTGAAGGGAAGAGGACAGACCAGAGAGAAGAGGTCCCCTGATTAAGCTCATCTTGCTCTTTTTCTGGTATTCCCAGGGACACACAAGACTCTCAGAAGGTGAAGTCAAGGGCTCTCAGGCTCACGAGGTTATTGGAGCAGCAGACTGGCAACCCAAGAAACTTGACAGAGACTTGCAACACACCAACAAGTTGGAAGGGGATTAAAGACCTTCAACAATCAACAACCCAAGCACCAAACTGAAGGAAACATTCTAACCTGCACAGGCAGACTGGAAGCTGGATGGAGAGCTGGCTGAGGAAATCTGGAGAGTGAAAGTTAAGTACCAGCTTGGATTTCTATGCCCCTCATTATTTTTGCATTTTTAAAATAAGAAGCATCAAACTGTGTGTCTCTGTAACAAAGTTCTAACGATTTAAGGTGAATTTGTTTTGAGTTAAGGACTACAAAAAGAGAAGGTAACTCCTAGGGAAGGAAGAAGAGAAAGAAATGAAAATTCGATAATGAGCCTATTTTGAGGGACTTCAGGTGGTGAGGGTCGGTGTTGATGAGTGTGTACTTGAGAGATTTTGGCTCACACCCAGCCCATGGGTCTCTCTTCTAGTATCAGCAAGGGGAGGGGTTATTGAAGAAGGAAGGGAAAAAAGGAAACCTGAGCTCTCTGGGAGGAAATTCAAAGGAACCAAGAAAAATTAACTTCATTCTGCACGGACTGAAACAGAGGAGAGGAGAGAGGCCGAGGGAGAGGAGCAGGGGCAGCACACACAGTGGTGAGGCTCAGACGCCTCACGGGCTGTTTCCAGCACAGGTGGCTGCAAGAGGCATTCTTGTGGGACTGTTGGGAGAAGTTTGGCAACAAAACAGTTTCCCGAGTGACTGCCTGTCCACTGCCAGCAGTCTCTGTCTTTTTTCCCCATCATTCCAGTGTGGTACCCAGAAGTCGACTTCTGGTTCTGTCACAGAGCTGGAGGAGGTATGATGTGCTTCAAGATCCTGAGAATAAGCCTGGTGGTTTTGGCTGGGTGGGCGTTGAGCACTGCCAACTCTGAGTGGGGCTGGACACGCACGAAAGCCTCGGCTCAGAGGGGACACCTGAACCAGGTGCTGGCGGCAGGAGAACGCTGCAGGCTGGGGGCCCAGGTTCGAAGGCCCAGAGCTTCTCCCCAGCATCACCTCTTTGGGGTCTACCCCAGTAGGCCTGGGAACTACCTGAGGCCCTACCCTGTGGGAGAGCAGGGAATCCCTCACGCAGGACGCAGCAAACTCAATGCCCAGGGAAGGGCTATGAGCCTGGCTCCCCAAGACCTGACTGAAAACACAGCTTGGGTGAGGAGTGAAGTCCAGCAGCCGGATGACCCATGGGTAGAGGATGGTCCTATTGGGCAATCTGAGCTGCGGGGAGATGATGACACTTATCTCAGCAATGGAGGATCCAAGGAGCCTCTAGGGGAGGCTGGGACTCCCACCGTGACTACCCCCCTTGCAAACCCAGAGGAATCCAACCCAGAGACCCGAAGGAAGGGCTGGGTCCTGTCCCGGCGCCGTCGCCAGGCGGTGAGGAGGCAGGCGGGAGACATGCCGGGAGACCCTGCTGTGTCTCCTCTGCATTTTCAACCTCGGCCCAAGCATCCCCTCAAGCACAGGCTCAGAAACAGCCCACTGGAAGACAGCATCCATAATGGTGGCGGGGACCCCTCCTGGGCATCAGAGATCTCTGGTTCCCCAGGAAGACTGCCTGTCTTGTACTTCTCTGGGAGGCGGGAGCGGCTGCTGCTGCGGCCAGACGTGCTGGCTGAGATTCCCCGGGAGGCGTTCACAGTGGAAGCCTGGGTGAAACCGGAGGGAGGACAGAACAACCCAGCCATCATCGCAGGTAACTACCCACTCCTGGGCGTTCTGAGATCCTGGGGATATGGCTGGCTCCATCTCTGGCGGGTTAGACTTGGAGGGCAAGGAGGGGAAGGGGACAGAGCCTGAAAGCCAGGAATGGCTAGCCAGGAAGGAGGGGGAAGGACCTTTATTCATAAGCACAGCAGGGCTGCAGACACCATCAGGGAGAAGATAATGACTCTTCCATAACAGCCTCTCTTGTATTGATCTCAAATCCTTCCATACCTTGCACTTAGGGCCCTTCAGCTCTCTTGCCTCTCATTCAAGGGCTAAATCTCTTGGGTTCTCTGTCAAAGGAGAAGGGGTGTCACACTCTGTTTCTCACAGTCCAGTATGAGATACCCAGGCAACTCTGAAGACAGATGAGAATCCAAGGGCCTGAGCTGTGAGTCACGCCTGGGCTGATCCAGGCAGCGAGGGAACAAGGGTTGGGTCCTGACTGCTTCCCTGTTGTCTGAGCAGCCCTGGAACTTGGCAGAAAGGTGCCGCCTGGTCCAGGTTCTGGGATCCCTTTCACTTTGTCCCAGCAATCATGAGCCCAGCCTAGGAACAGCAGGGTTTACTGGTAGAGGTAGGCAGTCACAAGCCAGGATCCTGGCTCCCAGCCCTGGCTGTAGTAAGAGGAATCTAAACATGAAACCTTAAATAACTCTATGGTTTTGATCAGAAGCACCTGTCTGGGAACATTATCTATATTTATTTTCCACTATACAGAGATTTTGGCTTTCATGGAAAGTCTCTCAGAGGAAAAGAGTGGGGTTAGAATTAGCAGTCTCCCTTTGCCTTTCTGGGGAGCTGGTGTCAGGCAAGAGGTTGAGGATTAGACCCGCTATTTCATCAGTCAGTGTCTCATTATCCTTTTGGATTCCCCATGATGGAACCTAACACAAAGCAAGGCACATTGTAAAACCACTTAATCTGCTTAATTTGGGTTATCTACAACACTCACGTCTGTTTTCCAGTCCCATTGCATTGAGAGAGAAACTGAGGCAGGCTGGAAATAGAACTCCAGAGTCCCCGAATTGCTTGACAACTCCCCAAATTAAAAACTTCTCAGGTTGCTGGATGCCTGTGGATGAGTTTCAGACTAGGGAAATAAATCTGGAAGGAAGGAGCCTCTTTCAGTGGGGTGTTGTTGGAACATCCCTTCCGGACACTCTGTCTCCCCCTCTTTGGCTGTGATTTCTCCTTCGGAAGCTGGGATTCCCAGACGCTGCATGCTCTCGAGTCTTGTGGTTTTGCTTTATTTTATTTTGGGGTGGGAGAGGGGGTGAGCGAAAGGGAGAGAGAAGGGGCTGGGCTGCAAGTTAGGTGGGGGCAGAGGAAGAGTAGAAGGAAATCCTTATTCTGGGGCCAAAAGGAAGAAATAATGAGATGATTATCTGATCAGGGTTGGCAGCTTCACAGTTTTTCCCAGATGACATCTTCTTGCTGCTTAATCTTGCTTCCTAGTACCCATCTGCCAGGGAAACTGTGTGCTTGTAGTCTAGACTAAGACCCATGACTGCTTACCCCTCCTCTTGCAGTAGCAACGTAGGGACCTGGAATTAGTTCCCTGGCTGCAAAGAGTTCGACAAGGATCCAGCAAGAATATATGTGGGAGGCTCGCAGAGGCCACAGCTTTGCATTATTTCGGCCCAAATCTGGGGAAACAGATTCAGGATTTTGGGTGCCTTGCCCCTGTTCTGTCCTTCCCAAGTCCTTATGTCTGATGCTCAGCCCAGAGGAGAGCAGGGTCAAGATCTGGTTCCAGTTGCAGTATTCTTTGTGACACCTCCCCTAGCCCCACCCTGGGATGCCTGCCTTCCTTGCTACATGTCCACTAACTGCTCCCAACATGGCCACAACACACGCTCAGATCCTTCTCCAAAGTGCCCGTCTGAACTCTCTTAACCTCCACGAGCATGTAAAATTGGGCAGGAAATCTTTTGCAGACAGTCTAGCTTCTGGGCTTTCTTTCTTTTCAAATCAAAGTGGCCCCTGTGGTACACTGGTATTTCCCCTTCCTGGAGGTCTGTTCCAGCAAGTTTGAGGGCAGGGAACACCCAGGGTTATCTCTTATTCACCTTCCACCCTGTATTTTTCTTCAGATTTGTGCACATCAGAAAATAGCCAGTAAAGATTGAGAGTAAAAGTCTGGGAGAGATGGGGATTGGGAACAAGGTCTTTGTTCTTCAAGAATCCAGCCACTAGACTCCTGAGGGTGTAGGCAGCCTTGAGTAACTCATTGTGTTTACATGTATGCTTCACCTGTGGTCTCCATGGCAGAGAACCACCAAGATCCAAAGAGTCTTCCTTCTTGGGGATAAAGGTCTTCAGTTGGCGCTAGTCTACTCATGCCTATCAACACATAGGCCCATCTTCTCTCTCTTACCATAGCACTGGTCCCTGAGCTGGTCACTGCCGGCTCCTAGGATGGTTGGCCTCCACTTATGCAGGATGACAGTCGTGCTGTAGACTCTTGTTCCTGCAAGTACAACGGTTCAACTTTTACAACCATGCTGCTCTGCCAAGGGTAACCCAAGGTACTGCAAGACTTGACTCCTACCCTTTTTCAACAGCTCTCAAACCTCAGCATTTACCTACTTAACTTAAAGCCAGTTTCCCAATCCTTAGTCTATTGAACTTGGGGTATTTTCCCCTCAGCAGTGGCTTTAGGCAATACAGCCACACCAGCCGCTATGGAGAACCACCCCCTCCCCCTGCCCCAGATGGGGGCCTTAGGGAATACTTCCTACACAGAGCACTAGGTGGCAGTGTTGCTTCATGCACAGGAGAGTAGGCTGCCACATAGTGAGAAATGTCTCTGATTTCTTGGAGGGTTGTCCTGCCCTGGCCTCTGGGTTGTGTTTAATCATTCTCTCCCAGAGTGTTGTTGGTAGACATCCCTTGGGGTCAGCGCCATACAAGTCTTTTTTGCAGAGCCTACGTGAAAGGGCTAAAGTGGCATTTTGGGGGGTTATGACTAACTTGCACTTTAGCAACTAGTAAAGAAAACAAAATCAATTAGAGTTACCCCTCTCCTCCCATCCCAACTCCCACATTCTTCCAAAATAGAAAGTTGGACTACAGAATGGATTGCCAGAATTCTTTGATTAGGATTGAGGACAATGCAGGGCTCTCAGACTGAAAGGTACTAAAAGTTTCCCTGGCCCTCAGAGGGGGAGAGATAGTGCCTGGGTCCCTCTACAAGCAGATCTTCTCAAGTGGCCAATTTCCCAGACCGGAAGCAGAACAGCTGGGGCCTGGGAGAGTCTGCACGCAGGGTCCTCCGGAGACATAGCTAGTCAGGGGCATGGCCATTCAGGGCTATGGAGCCACCTGGGAGTAACCTGAGGTCAGCAGCCCATTTGGATGGGCCACTAGAACTGAGTAGGCCAAACTCTGTCCCCTCTGTGTGTGTAATCTTTAAGCTCCAGCACCAACCCTGAAACCACCCTGTTCCTTTCCTTCCGTCTCAACTTCCTTTCCTCTCCTTCAACCCCAACGTACACAAAAAAGAAAATGTTAATCGGTCCTCCTCACCCATAATTGATTTCAAATGTTCCCTGAAGTTGCCCAGCTGAGTAACCACCTGCAGCTCCAAGTTGCAGGAGACTGAGTCACTAAGTCCATGGCAGGACTGGAGCCCAAATCCAGGTTTCTTCATCCAACAAATATTTATTGAGTGCTTGGCCATGCAAAGCCAACAAGGCACTGTGGGGGAAGACAAAGATGTCTAAGAAACAGTCCTTGACTTGGAGACAAGTTTTCCTCCTCTCAGGATCCAAGTCTCAGAGTAGAACTTGGGAGACTGACATACCTGGAGAATTATCCCGTGTCTGACACTTGGCACTTATCAGGGCTGGTCTGTGGCAATCCGTCGAGTTTCTCTGTGCCTTGGTTTCCTCAAATTGAAAAATGAGAATATATATATATATATGTGTGTATATATATATATATATATATATATACACACACACACATATATATCTATATATACACACTATATATATTTATATTATATATGATTCCATTTAAATGACACTGAAGAAATCTCTAAAAGAGAAAAGAAACACAAGACAATGTCTTGCAGAGTTGTTTCGATGTTTGAATAAATCAGGTATAGGTTCTCACCCACTAACCTATCATTTTTCCTAAACAGTCACTTTAATTTCTCAGAAAGTTAGTTTGTTCATCTGTAAAATGGAAATGACAGTAAATAAACCACATCATGGTCTCAAGATAATTAAAAACACTGTGGAATCAGAGGCCTGACTGGACCCATCTATTTTATTATCTTAAAATATTATCCGTTCTTTTTAACCTGGGCAGTGCTATTTTGGGTAAATTGGACAATGGCGCTCAAGTTTTTTAGGGGGCCAAAAACTCTTTTGAGAATCTGATGAAAACTTCGCTCACTCCTCAGAAAATGCACATGTTCACGTAATTCACCCAAAATTCAGAGTCTTCTGGCATTCCTGATGGCCAGAGTCTGCTGATGTGAGGCTTGAAATCCATTGTTTAGGGTCTACTGATAGCTTTCTTGTTTTGAATGACATCTAAGAAATGAGATTTCACAGGATGCTGAGACATCCCCTTATGTCATTAGGTGAGCTTTGTACCCAGGGTGAAGAGTTGCATTCATGTGCAACATGGAACTTCATAGAAAACAGACTCACTTGAACAGAGAATTCAAAAGCCATGTGTGTAATCTTTTCCTTTACCCCATAGGACTCAATGGTAGGTGAGGAGACAGATCCATACTTTTCCCAGAGCTTCTCTGGAGACGGGGTTTGCATTACCTTCCTCCTCAGTTGCCTCTTTCTATATTGCAGCAAGGTTCAAGGTCAGAGTTTTTGTCCTTATATGACCCTGAGGTATTGCCCAGTTCCCTTCTCATCAGAACTCTGCTCCCTGAACAGGCCCAGATGTGCAGCAGTGTCGTGGCCCCCTGCTCTTGGTATGGTAGAACTGTGGAAGTGAAGGCCTTCTCAGTCTGGG